AAAGTCACAGGGCTACCGCAAGATTGCTGGCGATAGTTGCGTTGGCGGCGACGAATCGTTGGCGCCCGTTGCAACCCCGTGTCCCAAGTCGCCCATCCTGGGTCTGACCCTCTCGGCCACAGTCACCAGCGCCATCCCGGTGTCCACCACCGTCATCTTCCGTGCCGCTGTTCAAGAGGGATCGCTGGAGAACGCACAGTACATCTGGAACTTTGGTGATGACACGGCGACCGTCGGCACCAGCTTCCCGAATGTCACTCACATTTTTGCCGCCGGTGGTCTGTTCTCGGTCTCGGTCACTGTGAAGAATGGTATCAGTGAGTCTTCCGCCTCCATGACCATTGAGGTTCAAGGTGAGTATTCTGTTGAGTCAAAGAGCTGGAGCACCCCGTTTCTTGTTGTTATGGTTGTTGTCGTACCACAAACTGGCTGACTCTTCCATCCGCCCCTTCGCTCTCTTTCCAGACAACCTGGCCGTCGCCGGGTTTGACTTCCCTCCCACCGTCTATGTGGACCAGAAGACGACGTTTGCCGTGCGCATGCAGCCGAATCTGTACTTTGGCGCATCCACGTACCTGTGGAGCTTTGGTCCGGAAAATGTCGTCATCAATGGCTCTAGCAGTATCGTCCACACGTTTAAAAAGAAGGGCACGTACACTGTCGCGCTGTCCATTCACAACAAGGTCGACAATCACGCCGAATCGTTCACCGTTGAGGTGGTCCAGGGCGACGACTCTGGCTCGTCCTTCCCGATTGCTGCGGTGGCTGTGCCTGCGGTGTTGGTGGTGATTGCCCTCGGCGCTGTAGTCTATCACTACCGACGCAAGTACTCTGAACTCAACGTGCGCTACTCGTCGCTGGCCGCTGAGATTGCTCCCGAAGATGCCAACCCCGATTCGCCGTCGCCCATCTCTGCTGTCGGCATGCGCCCAGCGGCTCACTTTTCGAATCAAAAGGCGCATCTGCGTCTGCATGAGGATGACGATACTGATGATGTCGTGGTGTAGTTGGTGTCGTGCTTTGTGTGTGTTTGGAACCAAAAATCGTGACAGATGCATTCTTTCTATTTCAGTTGCAAGACATGACAATGGCAAAAAAATGTGCATGAATTATCACTTCGTGTTGCGCGCAGTACTCCAAACCACCATAGCCCCCAAATCGCGAACTGTGCCGCTTGGCGAACGGCCCTGCTGAAGTAAAAGCACGCAGTCGGCAAACGAAGGGCGGGCAGAGGGTTCCCATTCCCAGGTCGTCAACATCAGCGAGTAGAGATGCGCAGGACAGTCCCGAGGTTGCGGCAAACGATCGCCGCGCTCCAGACCCACAAGGTACTGCTCCCGCTCGACATTCGCCCAGGGTGCTTGGCCCATTGTAAAGAGCTCCCCTGATTCAAAACGCAAGCGTGAGCAACGTCGCGGAATTCAACCTTTGCTCGACAAGTGCAGATCCAACTTACAAAGCACAACGCCATACGAAAATACATCCGATTGGCTCGAGAACTTGCGATAGTTGAGTGTTTCGGGCGCCATCCACTACGATGCACCAGACTGTAAATACAAGGCTACAAGAAACGACAAACCATCGACCCAAAGCGTCCTCGGCAATCAATCGACTTACGCGAATCGGCAACTTCTGCTTCGACTGCAACTTGTAATAGTCCTTGTCATTCAGCTCCCTGGATAAGCCAAAGTCGGCAATCTTGGCGACCAGATGCTCGCCAACAAGGATGTTCCGTGCGGCCAAATCACGATGAAGCACGCGCGATTGCTCCAAGTACGCCATGCCTTCAGCAACACCGGTGGCCACATGCACATACTCGTCTGGCGACCAGACGACACCACTCTTTGCCGATTTCCGAAGCAGGTTGCGGAGATCACCTGTCGAGTTTTCATGAAAGTGAACACCAATGAAAATCCGCTTCACCAGCTGGAACTACGACTGTATGTCAAGAACTTACCATACGGCACATACTCCAGAACGAGCATTTGCGGCTGACCTCGTCCGGCTGGGAGCACCGCGAGGACATTGACAATGTTGGTGTGGTTCAGCCTGCGCAAGAGCTCGGCCTCGTGCACAAAGTCTTGCTCCGCTCGAACGTTCGCATCCAATTGCAGCGTCTTGACTGCGACATCCACCGTCTGCGCGCCAAAGGCAAACAGGTGGCGATGCTGGGGAGCAATGAGGGCAATGGACACGTTCGCGGAAAACACTTCTCCAAAGGCGCCTCGTCCGAGCAGCTTGCGCTCGCCAGTGGCTATCTGCGATGACAGCATTGCAGATGTTGAGACCACTGCAAGGCTGTACTCAGTTGACGGCGTGGAATACGGCAATCCTCCGACCGCTGCATACTCGGGATCGCTGGGGTTTGGCTTGAGCGGCAGTGCGTAGTCAGCCGAGGCAGGGTAAGAGCTCTTTTGCTTGGTTTGACCAGCAACATCGTAGACTGGATCGTGGCTCGAAGCAAAGTTCGGGTTGGTCATTTCGATAGTAGCGGAAGTGCTTTCCATCTTGTGGTTGCTGCGGCCTTGCTTCCTTCGACGTAAAAGTACAACCACGACCACGATCGCAATCAGAACGACGACGCCTGCTGCTGCGGCTCCAGCAGCTACGGCAACAGGGCTGCTGCCACCATTGCTTTGAGCGCCAGAAGAGCCGTCATCGCACGAGCTGGTGGAGTTGGAGGCTTTGTAGCCAGATGGGCAAGCAGCCACGCATTGACGCGATGCCTTCGAAGCGAAAGTGCCGCTTGGGCATCGACTCACGCACGACTGAGTCGAGTTGTCGGCATAGCCGACAGTGCAAGTGTTGACGCAAGACCAGGTGGCATTGTGCGCAAACCCGGCGGAGCAAGTCGCTGCACAGCTGCTAGTTGAGGGATCCGCCCACGAGTTGGCTGGGCAATTCGCAACACATTGTCGAGTGTTGTCATCTTTGAAGCGTCCACCAGTGCAGCTCGCCGAGCACGATGGCGGAGTAGCAAGAGAATTTGCGTACGTCGGCGACAGACATGACACAACGCACGATCCGCTTGAAGAATCTGCAAAGAGGCTCCCATCACATGCAGTCACGCACGTCCAAGTTGAATTTTGTTTGACAAGTCCCGAAGAACAGCTCGAAGCACAGCTTCCAGTCGGAGAATCCGCCCAAGAGTTGGCTGGGCAATTCGCAACACATTGTCGAGTGCTGTCATCTTTCAAGGTGCCACTAGTGCAGCTCGCCGAGCACGACGGCGGGGTAGCAAGAGAATTTGCGTAGGTCGGCGACAGACATGACACAACGCATGATCCGCTGGTAGGATCTGCAAAGAGGCTCCCATCACATGCAGTCACGCACGTCCAAGTTGAATTTTGTTTGACAAGTCCCGAAGAACAGCTCGAAGCACAGCTTCCAGTCGGAGAATCCGCCCACGAGTTGGCGGGGCAGTTTGTAACACATTGTCGAGTGCTGTCATCTTTGAAGCGTCCACCAGTGCAGCTCGCCGAGCACGACGGCGGAGTCCGCAGACCGTCGCCATAAGTCCCAGCAGGACAAGTCTGGACACAAACCTTGCTGGTTGGCTCGGCATAGTATCCGCCTGTGCAAGCTGATGCGCAAACACGAGGAGAACTCAAGGGGTTTCCGTACGTTCCATCGGGGCAGGGTGTGACACAGTTTCGAGAAGCATCACCAAAATAGTTGGGAGCAGGACAGCTTTCAACACAAAGGTGGTTGCTGGAATCGGCATAGTACCCGCCTGTGCAAGTTGAAACGCAAACACGAGGCAAATTCAAGGGGTTTCCATATGTCCCATTGGGGCATGGAGTGACGCAGGTTCGAGAAGCATCACCGAAATAGTTGGGTGCAGGGCAGCTTTCAACGCAAAGGCGGCTTACTGGGTCGGCAAAGTTTGAAGTACACGACGCAACACAAATCGAGCCTTAAAGGTACCAAGTGCCTGGACACTCTGAGTCGCACATGCGCGTGTCGTCATGCGGATAAGTGCCTCCTGGTGACACATGTGCGGTTGGTGGCATCGCCATAGAAGGGACTGGTACACGAAGTGCAAATGCGGTTGCTCGTGGGAGTACAATCCTGCGATTGAAAGGAGCTAGCAGAGCATGCGGACGTGCAAGAAGTGCAGGCAGTTGCAGACGACGAATCATGGTCCCATGTTTCAGTGCCGCAAGTGGTGCACGTCGTGCCGGCTGCGGGCGCATAGTTTCCAGGAGGGCAAGTAATCGCCGCGGTGGCAGAGTTGGAATCGTGATCAAACGAGCCCGCAGGAACGTTAAAGTTGGTGCAGGGTCCAGCCTTGGCTCCGGTTGAGGTGTCCGTGCCCGCGCCGCAGGCAACACAGGCTGTCTCAACCAACGAATCGTGATCCGTCATGCCAGCAGGACACAGGAAATTAAACACGACATTCCCGTTGGCTAGTCCTGGGGAGGCTGGATTGGTTCGATCGGAAGCGTACCTGCACAAGTGCAAGTAGTAGATTGTGCTCGCATTGATTGAGAGTGACAAGGTTGATTGGAGGCCGCAGCTGTCGTCGGCTATCTGGTTGAGAATAGTGCCGAAATTGTGACACAGAGCCACTCGAAAGAAACATCATCGTATCGTCAGACTCAGCCGCAGGTGGTCATGTTGATGGGTCCTGCAGTTAGTGGAGTATATTGCCAAGTCAAGCATTT